CAAACGTAAAGGACATAAAGTGTAACGTCAATGTTTTTTTAATTAAAAGAAAAAATTAACAATAAATAAAGCAAATTATTGAGTGTTAAATTGTAACGAAATAACAAGAAGCGGGCAACAATTGCCGGATATTACTTGCAAGCATACAGTGACTCAAACTAGTGCTCACATGAGGATTTTTTTCTTTTTTTTTTATAAAAATACAGTGCATTCTTTAACCAAAAATAAATGTAGAAATCAAAGTCCAAAACTTTAAACAAAATTTAGAAAAAAATATTTTTAATATGGATATTTAGAACATTTCTTGAGTAGGCAGTTTTGTAGTATTTAGTAGAATAAAATGAAAATTTCAAGCGGATACGAAAAAATCACGTTGATTTAAAAAAAAAATTGTTGACGGATTTTTGCAATTTTTTGGATAGAAACATAAATTTCTTATGGAAAAAAGACAAGACAGTTTGCAAAAAAAAATAAAAAAAAACTTTTTTTTTATAAACTGTTTTTATTTTATACAAAAACCCAGCAAAAGCTTACTAAAACAGTATGGGCACACCCAAAAATGTTCTACAAATTCAAATTCAAAATTTCGAAATTTTGATTAAAATTTTTAGACTTTTTAACATTTTTTATAAAGCTTTAAACTGTTTTTTTGTTTAAGCAACCACAATATTTTTATACAAAAAAATAACAAAAAATACTTTACTTGCAAAACGTTGTGAATTAAAAAAAAAAAAAACATGTCAACACTTGTATGAATCACTGTATAGACTAATTATAACGGAATAAAAAGTAAATAGATATTTTAAAATGAACTCAATTAAATCAAAATCTAATGCAATAAATAATGTTAAAATAAAAACAATGTATGTATGTATGTATGTTAATATGCAACTACCTATTCAATAGATAAAGAATAAAGCCGAAGAAAAAATTCAAGTAAAAAAGAAACAAACTAATACAGCGAAAAATCATAATACTATACAAGGAATAGCAGCTTTTGGGGATAGTTAGAAGAAAAAAAGAATATTCTAAACTTAACCATAGCACGAGAAAAAAAATGCTTGTTTACAAAAATACATAGAAAAGACTGGAAAGGGAAATTGCTTTCCAGTTTTCGCTCGCAATTCAGATTTTTTTTTTATATTTTTGATCTTCCAGCTCTGTAAAGGCGTAATTCCAAAAACGCATACATATATTCACTACTAAATATTCGTTCGTTCTGCTTAATTCAATTTTTCAAATAATTCAGCCGCCCCCAAAAACAGCAAATACAAAGCACTAAAAAAAATATTAGCAAAATTTTTTAAAGTTATCCAAGAACGCCAAGGTATTCAATTGGTGGAAAAATAAAACGGTGAAGTTATGTAAGTAATCATAAGTTAAAAACAGTTAGGTGTATAAAAATACTATACATATAAAAACTACTTATTATTATTGTTGTTGTCGAAAAATTAAATAAATGAAAACTCATAATAAATGCAAAGTGAAAAAAACAATACTGCAAAAAATTTATATACATAAATACTTAAAATATATACATACAAATACATATATTTAACTATATAATGAAAAACAACAATAATTATCAAAGAGAATTGGCAAAAAAACTGAATCGCCAGATCTTCAACGTCCGTTTGGAGTTTAAACAGAAATTTCAAATTCTAGCGAAGTGAAAAAGAAACTAAATAAATAAAGACTCGATATTAAAAAATACACATACTTACGCAGAAAAAGTGTATTCTTTTAAACTGGAAAAAGCACCATAAGCCTCGACTGTTTCGACTTTGTTTAATGAAATTCTAAAAAAATGCTTGAAATATGTTTTTTTCAAGTTTCGAGCTTTCACGTTTTTTCAAGTTTAGGGGACTCACAAAAGAGCTTAATTTCATGCTAAAATGTGGTGAGTATTGAGTTTATTGGAACCTAACATTTTTACAGCGATTTTCAATAAGCCAACGGACCATAACGAAAATTCCAAACAAAAAAATATTGCTCATATGTTTTGCTTCAATATTTGCTTAAGCTCGTGTGAAGTAAAAGTGTTCTCGTCTTAGTACTATCCAATTAAAAAAAAATAATACATCTATCTCACTCTTCTAGGATTAGAAAACAACTCTTTGCTGATTCTTCTGCCTATGAAGCCAGAGGCAATACAATTTTGTTGGTGATGTGAGTAGCTCTTTACAAATGCTCGACTATACTCAATTGTTACTCGCCGTTGAGCCTTTGTGGAGCCTCGGATTACGGTAAAAGAGAGTGAGCTACAATTAAGCCACTCCAGCATGCATATTCATTTGGTTTAAGGGTTCACTGAGGTGCGACCGCTTGGAACAAGCACCTCGCCATTTATGTAAACCTTACCATGTTCACGTAAAAACTCCTTTCAACTGAAAGGTAAACACGCCTTGGATGAGGTCCCCTCTCCGACACCGGCTTCTTAATGAAGAATACGCAGCTTCTCGGCTTATTAATATCCTCGAGAGAGGAAGGCCAGAGATGCAATGTGCGGAGAAAGGTAAGAAAATCAAATCGTCTTTCCTTTTTTTATGGAAAGGGGCGCAAGTTCGGTGTCGGATTTATGGTGGTAGAGACACTTCGTCGTCAACGACTGTCGTTTACTCTGCATTAAACCGAGTTTCTTTAGCATCTCGAACATTTGTGTCCACGTCACGATGGAAGGAAAGGACGATTAACTAACTCTTCGATCTTTCTAGTGAGCTCTGCACCACTTTCTCCTGCATAAAATCGTGCTAGGCGACAAAACGAATCAATTTTTCTTTCTATTATTTTTGGTTAGCAATTCTTCCGACAGGGTGCTAGTATAATTTTCGTTCGCAGAATGAAAAACTGCACTGAAATGGTTGTACGCCGAAACCGGTTTGTTTCCGGTTTCCACCATACAGTTTCGAAATACAAAATCACATTTTCCCGCTTTTTATAATCGAAACTGTATGGTGGAAAGTGTGTTCTAATATCTATTTTGATATATTACATACATATGTTCCATTTAGTTAAACAATATAAGAATATTGTAGTATGTACCACAAAAACGTATATTTTCTATAAAAAATCATAACTCAGAAAAAAAAATCTTCGCTATTAGAGATTTGATTTTTGAGAAATTAAATTAAAATAAAATTTGCACTTTTTGTTTATTGTTAAATAAAAAATTTTAAATAATAAAAATCAATAATTATGTCATTCTATCATGAAGTGATAAGAATTACTGACATTTGAGTAAAAACATTGTTGGAATCTATTAAATATTGACAAAGTTATGGGCATTTAAAAAAAAAATTATCACTGTCAATTCGAATAATCGATTTTTGTCTGAAAAACAAAATCGCGTTTAATTCGGCCGAAAAATTTTTCCGAGCCAAAAGAAAAAATACGTGTCTCATTATTTGGACCAACAAACAATGTATTTGAGTTTGGTCGAAATTAAAAATCATGCTCGTACCTGACCGGTTGTCTGGAAATGGAAAGCATCCAAAGTAAACTATTTTATACATTTCAAAAGGTTTATAAACATTTAAAGCAATGCTTGACCAAAGATATATTCAAAAACTGGTCATTAATCAGATTGGCTTTTTATATATGCGCACAAATGGAAAAATCTGTTCAAATTACTTGCGTCAAAATCAAACTTTTTTCTTACAAATTTAATTTTTCGCATTGTTCCTACTTTAAGCTCGTATCATGATTGTAAATATGCATTTTTATCAAAAATTCTTTTTGGTTTGGGTTGGCCGGATATTTTTCAATGTATCTGCGTAATTACTTTTTCAGAATTCGCTAACCCGTTTTTACTACTTTTGGCCGCTGTAGTCCCATTGTGCGACCCCTGCAAGCAACAGGCTCACATGCCGCGCTCCATACGTAGCGCCACTATGGAACGAATACGCCCATGTTTTGTAAAATTGAGCATAACTTATAACTCCGTCCTCCTCTCCACGACTCATTGTTTTTCAATTCTTTACTCTAATGTTGGAACGCGTGAAAAAGCTGCAAATTTTGATGGCAGCATCTACATACACATACAACATAAGAAACATAACCAAAAGGGATTGGTCTAAGGGCTAACGAAGAAAAGACAAAATGCTTTCAGGCCATCCACAGAGTCTTTACGTATTTGGGTCACACATCATTGTTGGTAAATACTTAAGATCCAGCATAAACACCACCAATAATTTCAGCCTGTAGATCAAGCGGAGAATAAGTCCTGCCAACAAATGCTACTTTGAGCTCGAAAGCCAATTAAAGAGCAAAGTCTCTCTCGAAGAACAAAAAACGTACGTTCTAACTCCCTTATCATGAGCGTTCTTTTATAAAGCGGAAAAGCATGGACGATGTCAACGTAAAGATGGCAAGGCTTTCGAGTGAACTATTTTACGAAAGATCGATGGCCCTGGCGTGGGCTATGGGTACCGTATAAAAAGGAGTCACGATCTGAATGAGCTGTATAATGGAATAGACACAAAAAAAAAGACATGTCTGCTCTTGCGTTAAACAACTGGCGCAACTGAGCAAACAGGAAGCAAATGACAAAGCTTTTGGTCTTGGCCCAAACCGACAAACGCGTGTGTAGTGCTAAAAAAGAGGAAGCTGAATCGATTTGTTCAGAGTTTCCACTCTAGGGACACCTACTTAGTTTCCTGCTGATTTACAAAACTTGTATTTATTTACATATCTGTTTTTCTTGCTTGACTCTCATTTTCAAATTGGTTTCATTGAAAAGGATTCGTTGTGTTATATTTTTTGAAATTCAATTTAACTGTTGACATTGAATTTATTTACTAACATTAACCAAGCTACGGATCCCAACTACTACTCGCAACTAAGGTAACCAAATAATCCACGGTTGGTGACTTGTGCAACCAGCTAAATGCATGACAACAAATTAAAATAGAGCAAACAATAAACAATTGCTTAAATTTAAACGCGTTTCGATTAAAATTGCGTTTAAGAAAACCTTTTTTCTAAATACATACCAAAAAACTATGGATCCTACTAAGCAACTTGGAATTGGGTGAGTAACGCGCTAATAAAAAGTTTGAACGAAATAAATATGTACATACTTATATACTCGAAAAATAATTACTTTATGATTAATTCATGATTCATTTTCAATACAACTTACAACAGCAAAGAGACAGTGAGGACAGAGCAGCTGGCGCGTCGAAATTTTCAGAAAAAATGGGCCAAACTAGGTGATGAAAAATTGAATAAATTCTATAACCAAAATGAAGTCAACCAGCAAATGAAAGATGTACTCAGAAAACAAGGTGAGAGGGAGGTGATCAGTTAGAAAAAAGAGTTGTTTTTATCGCACGAACATACAAATTTATATGTATTTACATTAGGATGGTCAAAAAAAGCATGTGAAAAAGTAAAGTCGGAATTTTTATGCTGTCAGCCCCTAGCGAAAAAATGTTTCCCTTTTTTATTTTGAAATCAAAAAATATTTAGAGGTCGCTCAAAGCGCCCAAATTTTCCATGTATTTTTATATGGGGAAAAAAAACCTTGCGTAGAAACCGTATATAATTCTTAAAAATCAACATTTTTCTATCGGGAAAACTCTGTGTATATGCAGGAGACTCCCAATAATAATACCCAATTGTCTATTTAACCATTTTTTCATTGCAACTATAATTTATAGGTCCGCCAAGAACCCATAGAAACCACGAAAAATGCATTCGATATAGAACCATCCTAGGGGTGAGAGCATTACAATTCCGACTTTACTGTTTTTGGATCACCTTAATGTACATACATATGTACCTACCGAGCAATATACGATTAGTTATGTACTAATGACTTTGAAATTGCATCGTTTTTCCAGAACTATGCCCCTTCAAATATACCGGTCAAGGTGATTCATATTTCCTTTCACCCGACATGTACAACTCATTGGTAGCCAAATGTCGTTGTGGTCGTCAGCGAAGTGAAACACATATTTTAAAATGTTTGCAAAAGACAGAAAATATATTTAATAAAGCAGCATCTTCAAAAGCTGTTGAGGTCAACAATGCTTCTATGCAAGAGCAGAATGCTAAAAATGAGGGAAAATCCGTGAAAGTTGATGGCAAATACGCTGCTCATGATGTGTCACTACCAAAAACTACAAATTGTACGTATTCATGCGAATGAGGGTGGTTATGAAATATGTTCTCATTCATTCGAAATACATATACTACTGAAAAGATTATTGATGTGATAGACTCACATCTGCCCATCAGGCTGCATCACCCGCTGAGCTTAGCATTATTTTTCTTTTAATAAGTATACCGCACAAATTTACTATGTAAAATTCTTTGTCTCTTTACAGCTTTGATTGGTTGGCAAAAACGTCCTTCCAGCTACAGGGAATGGGAGAACTCAATGAAGCATATTTCACCAATCGCCACTATGACTGAACCACGTCTAACTCAAACAGCATACCATGTTTTACATATTGCCTAAATTTATAACGATTATTTACATATGTACTTGTATGCATATACATTCCAACTTATGTTCAACAAATACAAAAGAAACATAGTGACTTTGAAGTTGTGTAAACCAAATTCATTTTAAAGTAGTTGAATTTAAATGCCGGACGGAGTTGGACAGTCGACTTGCTGCTGGCACACAATTCAAGCACATTTACATGTCTGGCTGTAGCTGAGCGTGCAAAGATGCTTGCTACAATTGGTCGCAACCCAGAATGTCCATGTTCAAATCTAATTTAATTTAAAATTTTTAATTTCGGTTTTTCTTAGTTATGAAATATCATATGTGAAGTGCAGAACGAAAGCGTATTCAAAGAAAACATACTGGCTTTGAAGTTGTTTATGCCAAGTTCATTCTAAAGTAGTTGAAAATACATGCAAGAAAAGGCAACTGACTGCTTCCTAGGACATTGCCATGTTAAATAAAAGAGTTCTTTGCTGGTAAAATAGCGAGAATTTCAATTAGTTGTCATTGAAAATAAAGTAATTTATAAATTACTTTCAAACTAAATCAATTTCCTGCAGGGTAGTCATAAGCAGGCAACGGATTTTATGGAAATTGCCTTTTTTTGCTAAAGAGATAAGAGTATATTCGATTAAGAATGTCCAGGATTTTTCTTTGCCTGATTCCTGCCGAACCCGATCTACTACTTTTGCCTAGGCTAAACTAGATCAGAGGCCACAGTAGTTTTACGCAGAACACCCTTCGGCGTACTTCAAAAAAATAATCATCAGTCCAACTCCAGGTACACAGTGCACAGAATTGTTGCGTTCAACTTGTTTCCGCATTGGACGGATATATTAGAAAAACTAGTTTGTCCTAAGATCGGGTTTGGCCGGTAACATATACACATTTGATGTTGCTTTTTTTAAGACATTTGCCTTTTTCGCCTTTTCTACCTTTAATTGTAAAGGGCAAGGGCAAGCCCGTATTCCTTATAATATGAAAGTTTTAAATGTTCCATATTTAAATTGGGCGCCACTGGTATCAACTTACGTCGAGCGCACGTTTAGTATATTTTTTCAGGCTTTTCTTCGCAAAAATCGAATGAAAACGCTGTCAGAAAACTTCAAAATAAATCTTGTGGTTCAATGTTACTACAACTATAGAGATTAAAGTTTTATGAGTTAAAAACTCGAAAGAAAAACATAGTCAAATATTTATAATACAAATTTTTCATATAATGAAACTAGTTCATAGTTTTTCCCTTTTTACTTTTTATTTTTTAATTATTTGTCAACTTTTAGCTTTTTTGTGCCTTCTTTGCCTATTTCGCTATTTTATTTTGCCTTTTTTATAGGGTTTTAGGTCCTAAAAATCCGTTCCCCGGCCATAAGTATTCGCAAGGTATCTAATGAGTCACATTGTCGAGATATCATACAGTTTTTAACAGTTAAAAATATTTTTGGAGCAACTACAAAACATATTTATGTATGTAACCACTTTTTAATGTCTGACAGTATGACAGTATGGCAGTACGACTTATGACGGCACAAGCCCTAGTACAAGTTACACCTCGTGGTGGCGACTGGCAACAGCTCCCTTATCTAAAGCTACTTCGAATAAGTATGTATCTTCTTCTTTTAATTTGGCGCTGTAACCCCTTAAACGATTTTGGCCAAGTTCTACACAGCACGCGCGTCGTTTCTCTTCTGAGCCAACTGACGCCAATTGTAAATGCCAAGTCTTTCTCCATAAGTCTGAATGTATTTTTACTTCAGTAAAAATTGCTGCCAAAATTCCTTTTCTAAAATACTACTTTTACGGCCGGGCCACTGTATCATAAAACCCATGGTGTAAATAAACGTGTCTTCGGCTCTATATAAAAGCCAGCCACGAATGGAGTGCTTAGAATATCGGCTACCTTCGGAACTACTAACCCTTACCCGAGTGCAATGGATCGGCCTTTCTTCATTGGCTCCGGTTGGAAGCTTGAGACTAATATCAAGACTTGGGTATCGATCTAATCATAGGGCTCAACGGAAATCTTGGATATGCTCCAAGAATTTATTCCAGGCATACCCACTTACAATTGTAGATGGGTCCATAAGGCACAAGCAGATCAAGCAAAAATCCAATTAATTATACTTCTGAGCAATGAATGCATAGGCATTATAGCGAGGTACGATAATAAGTTTAACTGTGGCTTTGGGATGGTCACCATCAATGGTTCAAAGGCGGTCACTGAAAGCTTACACTTAGACATTAATAGCATTGTCCATTGTGTTACCACATTACACAAGTTCTTTCAACCGCAACTGAAGATACTCTGTGTTAGAACTAAGAGAAACGCTGCGTGGTCAAAACAAAGTTCCGCAGATAGCTGATGTCCACTCCGGAGAGCTGTTCGGCAGTGTTGATAAAATGCGCAGCGAGGTGCTTCAACCTTAGTCTTGCGAACGCTGGGCAGCTAAGAAGGAAGTGCTGAGATGATTCCACCTCGCCTTCCAAACAGTTGCGGCAGTATCTGGATCTGTGACGTTATTAAGTCGCACCACGTGGGTTCCTAAAGGACAATGTCCGGTCAGTACACCTGCAAGAATCGAGAGCTGGCGTTTACCTAATGAATGAGAAGATAATAACTAGAAGTTGGATATGGAACCCAAGTGAGTGGGTATGGAGATGAACAAGTGCAATGGTAATATCCGATGAGGTAACTGTCTCGGAGTATTTGAAATAAAGATTCTGCAGAAGGTTTAATGGACTTTTTTTTGTCAAAACTATCACAAAAAACAGCACTCAGATTACGTGCCGTCAATTGTGCTGTTTTCGACGAAGAAGTCAGATCAGCTTATGTTCAACAACACAGCTGGTTTTCTAGTTTTCCATGTCGAACGAATGTACACAATAACCCCCAGCCTTGAAACTATCCATCACGGTTTCAGCTGGTGGTAGCAGAGGAAGAGAGTGGTCTATTCTGCGACGGAAAGTTTTCGAAGAGAAGAAGAAGAAGGTAGATTATGGCAACATATCATAGACGAAAAAGGGATGATCAGTTATTCTGAAAGACGACATCGGTAAAGACTTCTGTTTAATCAATTTAGTATATCCCTTTATCCTTATTTTCTATGAGCCAGCGACATTTTTTCTGTACCCAGCCTAATGGACAGTACTGTATAACTCTATCTATATCTATGTACGTTCCGGTAAAAATCCCCTTTCAATAATGCGTTATAAGATTAACTCATTCTCAAAGCTCTACCCAGAATTGCAGCGGATGACGGTAGAGCGGTCGGTGGTAAGTGAACACGACAGTTGTCATTTTGATTTGGAAATTATCATTAAAATGTAATATTATTGTTGACAACTGTCGTTGCTTGAGCTCATCTGCTCTTTTGCCAGAGTGCCAGGCCACTTGCTCAATTCGGTGAATACCACTATTGTTTCGGTACAAGCGTGTTTGCTGAAAAAAAAAACGGATGGAAACATTGCCAAACTTGTGAAAATAATAAAAATTACTACAATCAACACTCAATCAATATTGTGCCGTCCCGCTGGGCGGTAAAATTAGAAATAAATTTAAATCAACCGAAAAATGTCGGCGGTAAAACTGCTGCCTCCGCAATTATGAGCCTTTCCATATGCCTTTGTGAGTTTTAAATTTGACAGCGCTTAACCGTCGTTCGCTGCAATTCTGGGTGGAGCTTTACGCATTTGATCTAATTTTCTTTGGGAATCACAAATTTCTACCAAACTTTGCCACAAACAAGTAATTTTTAAGCAAAAAACAAAACCGACTTCAATTCTCATATAAAAATTTAAGATTATCGTTAATCACTTCATGATCCAATGATCGGATTTAAACCAAATTAGAATGGGACCACATGTGAGGTAACACCTTTCCTTTAAAAACAGAATTATAGAAATCGGTTAACGTGGTCCAATGTAATGCGGTAACATACTTAAAAAAATAAATAAATATTCCGGCGAATTGAAAACTTTCCTTCCTTTTGTGAAGTCAAAATATGCAATTAACACAAAAATATGTATTTTTCAACTAATAAGGCATTTGTTTAGGATATCTTATGCTTATTAAAATATGAATTACTTAATTGTTACAATTTATTTTAATAACAAGTGAGTTATTAGTTTTTTTGCTGATGCCTCTTAATAAACGTGTGAATTGCTATACTTAATTGCTGCCAATATTAGAAAAATATACATACATACATACATATGTAAAAGTGCAAAGGTAATTTTAACATCTTAATGAGCGTAGTTTGCCGCTCTAAAATTGACGGTTCTTTGATTGCTGCTGCTGAGTCAAGTTCAAGTTTTGAGATTTGTTTGGGTTCAACTTGATCACCATTTACACTTCTCCGTCATTTCATGTGTGTTTTTTTCTGTTTTTGTAATTGACGTGTATATGACATGAGTTTAAAAGAGAACAACGTAAATATTTGCATAATAAATGTCTCTTAACTTGTTTTTAACTATACAAATCGCGCTCGGGGTATTTTTTTTTGTTTTCCGAGTTACTCTTCAATCTACTAGTGCTACTTCAGTTTACTTATATCTAGTGGAGAGCTAAGCTAGAAATCAATTGAGTTTCGCATATCGGCGTGTTAACATCACACAACAAAAAAAAAAAACAACCAGATGCCAACAAAATGACGAGCACCTGCTACAGTTACACAGGTGTTTACCACGATGAATAATTATAAATATCTGTAGCTACTAATTTCAAATTCACTTCATTTTCTTAGTACTACTCGCTTTATTGGTCACCATGGCGTATGCTGCACCACCGCTACAACAAAAGCATCGAATAGCCAATACCTCACAGCAGCGTCTGAAGCGACAAATTTTCTCGAATGATTTTGATATGATTGGTAATCCATTCTTTACACCAGCTGATGATGATTTTGAACCAAACACTCTCACTCGCCCGCAATGGGGACGACGTCCAGCTCCTGGGCAACCGCTGATATTTAGTAATGATGGACAACAAAAATCTGGAACTACAACGCAAACAACACCACCATCAACAACAACAACACAATTGTCATCTAGCGGTGCTAATTCGAATGTAGTTTTCGTAAATAATCAGCCCGTTATTGCTACTATGGCACCATTTATTGCAGCTACCACAGCTTCGCCAGCGTTTTTAAGGTGCTTCGGCAGCTGTCCCACCACGTCGGAATATAATCCTATATGTGCTAGTAATCGACAGCAATATCAGAATCCGCAGAAGTTTGATTGTGCCAGACGGTGTGGTGCAGGTGAGTCAGTTATAAATACTGCATACGTATGTATGTACATTAGACCGTGCCACCTTACAAGCAACAAAAGAAAAAAGTTCGCCGTGCATTCGTGAGTCTAAGTGTTTTTACCAGACAATTTCAAAAAAAAAATGTTTAGCCGAACCTAGGTTGAGCCTTTTAACATTTTTTGGTGGCACCTAGCTTCGGCAATAAATTTTTTTTTTTAAATAGTTCACACCATTAGAATTTCTTTTCTTAGCAAAAGTTTGATAATTTTTGGTGAGCTTTAATTTAGTGACAACAGGGTGGTGCATGAGGGAGATAAGAACTGAGATCTGGTGGGTAAGTACTAGAATGGGATGTTTGAAGACAATGAATTTTAGAATAAGAAAATGCTCTCCTCGACGAAATTTGAAAAAAAAAAAATTCGAAATTGCCTTGCAAAAACATTTCGTATTCGAAGGTGTCTAATGAAAACACATACAGTGGTCGAAAAAATTATAGCCGCAAACAAAACCCTTGTAAATCAATGTTTGAAACCATTAATTTTTTAGAAATTTTTTTATCCCATTTGCTACATTAACGAATAAATACAGTTTACTTTTATTTGGAACAAAACCGCAACATCGACAAAAAAAATCTAAAAATCAACGGTAAATTTTAACCATTTATCTTATTAATACTACGTTCAAATTGACAAGTTAAACATGTTAAATGGGCTTCAGCCAGTTAAATGAACAAAACATGTTTATAAACAAGTTAAATCGCATGCAATTGTTGTTGGAAAATTTAACCAGTTAAATAATTTAACTCGTTTGAAAACCAATTCGACGCAGAGTTGTATTAGAAAGCTTTCTGCTTCAGCCAATCAGAAAGAGCCAAAAGCTTCCATTTGACACGCCAACGTTCAAAAAATGTATACTCTCAAACATATTAAAAATAAAAAATTATCAAAAAATATCAAAATTATAAGAATGTCTGCCCACCAAAAAAGAGGCCAAGGCGATAATTAGTTATTTCCCATGAGGTCACTTTGTATTTATTTTTTATTTATTTTTTTTTTTTTGGTAATTTTTATTGGTAATCAAACAATCGTCAAAATTAACTCCAAATGTTTAATGTGAACGATTGTGCTTTACGAAAAGCTGGGAATTTTTGCGAAAGTTCGTTGAACTTTTTTTTAAATATTGCACAAAATTTAAAATTTGGATTAGCACGGTTTATTTTTTGAGAATTAACTATATTTTTTATAAAAAAAAAAAAAATAACCAGAATTAAACAACAAAAAAATAATATGTTATAACTAGTCAAAATTTGGTGCGGCTATAATTTGATAGACCATTGTATGTATCTTTGTATATGCATATATTTAATTACATATTTGACAGTTTATAAACTGCAATTTTAAGGCGAGCAAATGTACTTTTTTGCACCACCATATGTCATAACCAGGGAAAGGATTTTTAGGACCTAAAAACCTATAAAAAAGGCAAAATAAAGTAACGAAATAGGCTGGAAAAGGCAAAATAAAATAGCGAAAAAGGCAGGAAAAGGCAAAAAAAGGTATTGAAAAAAAAACCAAAATAAGGCACTAAAAAAAGACAAAAAATACGAAGAACAATCAAAAAATATATTTTTTTTAGAAATGTTTATATTACAAGTAAAAAGAGAAAAACTATGAACTAGTTTCATTATATGAAAAATTTGTACTTTGAATCTTTGACTATTTTATCCTTTCGAGTTTCTAACTCATAAAACTTTAATCTGTATAGTTGTAGTAACATTGAACCACAAGATGCATATTGAAGTTTTCTGGCAGCATTTTCATTCGATTTTCGCGAAGAAAAGCCTTGAATGTACTAAATGTGCGCTCGACGTAAGGTGATACAAGTGGAGCCCAATTTTAATATGGAACGTTTGAAACGTTCATATTATCAGGAATAAGGGCGTTTTCCTAGCCCTTTACAATTTTATCCACACCCCTTATTGTCTCTAAGCCTACGTTAGCTGAGAAAACGGCTTTGAATTTTTCCAACACCAGTTTGGCAAGAGGTACCTGCGCTTCTATAAGCCGCATGGGCATGTGTATATTTTTTAATCTTAAAAAAAAAATTGTAAATGCTATAATCACTTTTTTAAAGGTAGAAAAGGCAAAAAAAGGCAAATATCTTAAAAAAGGCAAAAAAAGGCAACATCAAATGTGTATATATGAAATCAGGGAAAGCTAAATCGTGGACATTTTTAATCGAATAAACTCTATCTCTTTAGCAGAAAAAAGGCAATTTCCATAAAATCCGTTCCCTGGTCATAACTATGCAAGTAAACAAGGCGTCTTAGTGGCCGATAATAATTAGGAATTATTTCTAATTTCAATCTGTCTAAAAAAGCAACGTCGCATCGTTCGAAATTAAGTAATGTAGCAAATTGTGAAATAATTAAAGGTAACTAAGCTTCGCGTTGAAATTTCTAAAATCAAGAGAAAATTTTTAAAAATTCATTTCATACATGCGTGCTTAAAGATGTACATTAGAGTGCCTCGCCAAAAAAGTTGCTGTTTTTTCCACCGGCATTATAAAATTTATGATATTATAAAACTCCCGCCAAAAAAAATTCGGACAAGTATTACCTGCAAAAATCTAGTTTTTAACAAATAAAATTAGTTTTTAAAAATACTTTTTTCCAAAAAATTACATAAGATGATGGGGAAGTTAAAGCTTAAAAGTTCCGCATAAAATTTAAGAATTTTACCAGCTGAATCAAAATAATGAGATTTTTGGTGCTACTTTAAATCGATCCAGCTCACTTAAATCTTAAAATTTTTCCGAAATATTTTGGCGTAAGTCTTAAAATACATATAATATTCTGTATAATTCCGATGGAAAAACTATAATATTTTTTGTTTTTTTGTATGGAGAGTGATGCACACAAATGTCCAAAATCTATACAACGTTTTGCCCATTCAGCGCAGCGAAGAGCACAATTTAAGATGCTTATCGCTACATACATAAGTTTGGTACTTGCGTGCGTATTTTTGTAAGAAAAAAATATGCACATACATAGGATACACCATTTACAAAGTTCATAGTTTTTAGTAATTCAAAATAAAGCATCTTGTTACAACAACTGGTTTATTTAATGCACATGAATCTTTGGTATGTATTACCTTACCATACTGAACTGCCTAAGGTCATTGTTAGCAAGGCCTTCTACGCCAAAAAATATTCCACCTTTACCTTGAATAATTCACTTACACACAAAGTCATTAAAACAAAATTGCTTACATTAAATCACGTACGTTTCGTCGTCTTAAGTATGTTTTACTCAAATTTTTTTTTCATCTTTGCAGACATCCAGATCGTGCGTCGCGGCGCCTGCCAAGGTCTATTCCCCATGCAACGCGGATAATACTTACTTAGTAATTGTATCTACATATTTATAAACATAAATTTTTGTTGTATAGTTACCTACTAAAATACGTACATATGTATGTATGTACTCATAGTATGAATTTATTACTTTTATTGTATTTATGTATATATGCAAGGTTGTGACAAACGAACTGATTTTACTGTATAATTTTTGCCGGCAAATGTAATGAATGCATGTAACGTATAAATAAATACTAAATGTAGTTAATACTTTTTAAAAATAAAAAAATGTATGTATGTATGTATTTCTACGATAGCTTGTTATGTATGCTAGCCCATAGTCAATAAACATTGTGATACCTGTTTTTTTCATTGCTGTTGCAACAAAACACAAAAATACCAAGATATTAATTGATATTTTGCTCGTGCCGGTTCCGGAGTTCGTTAAACTAGTTCTGTTCATCTTGTCAACACACATACATATGCATTGCATGTCAACAAAACATATGCACAAAATAAACAAATAAAAATTAAGAGAATAAAAAAAAATCTGCGACAGAAAAAATTACGCGTTCTTTTGTTTGCAACTATAAAATTTATCGCGAATATAAATAAATAAATATTTAGCGCTTACCGTTTTGCTAGTGCTTAGCCGAGATTCTCTGCCGATTTGTAATGTGCGCCTTGATGTTGTCACAAACAATGGAGAGGCACCTATGTACCTACGGTTTTTGGCCGCCTCCGAACGGCAAATGGTTTTAAAGAGAAGCTTCTTTAATGGCAGAAATACAGTAGAAGGTTTGGCATTGCCTGCCTTGGTACGACCGCTTTTGAAAAAAAAAACGTGTTACATGTTGGCCGGTCTAGGGATCGAACCTTGGATCTACCGAACGGTAGTGCGCACCTCTAATCACTCGATACAGCAGACCTATCGATAAATCCTACTAATATTATAAATGTGAAAGTTTGTAAGTGATTGTGTGAGTATGTTTGTGGCTCCTTGACATTAAAACAGCTGGACGTATTTCAATAAAATTTGACACACAGAGAGGTTATGACCTAGATTCATATAAACGTAATTCTTTAAAGGGAGGTGCCACATTTTTTCAAAAGCTAAAGCGCTAAATCAATTAATTATCAGGGTAAATAAAATATTACAACCTTGTGGGCTAAAGAGGTTAAAGAAAGCTTTATTTCGATTATGACTTTTAAATGGCTTGCCAGCAACAAGCAAGCAACAAGTATTGGCACAGCTGTTTTTTTACAATCCATGCAACAATTTATATTGAAAAATGTTTCCGAAAATTTTTTTAAAAATATGGTTAATTCTACAACAAAAAACATAAAAGTATAATTTCTAAACTTTGTGCAAAACTCGCGAAAATTCAGCAAATTTTCATGCAAATTTTCAATTTTTTATCAGATGTTTTAGAATTTTTTTGAGTATGCAGATTTGTAGCCCAAATAAATGGTTTGGTGGTCATTTGCCGCTTTAAATAACCTAATAAATATCCGTGAAGAAGTTCTTGAAATTCTCCAGTTGTGCGGCATTTCATAGCACGGTTATTCGCAAAGCGAAATAAATTTTTTTCTCTTCACTCCCTGGTGGCAACAATGACCCGGTTCTATAGTAAATGTCCTAGAAGCTTTACAGTATAGTTGGTGGCACTTTCAAAATGGCTGCGAATCATTGTTGTACAGAAATGCAATATACATATACTTATTTCAGACGAAATACCTTAAAAGTTTGAACGCATAATAATATTGGAAAATGACATCCATTGGGCCAATCGCAACGCAGGAGCGTTCGATATACTCAATGGTGCTCGACTTCAGCACCACTTGGCAGCACGTTTTTGCAATAGTATTGCATACATATTTAAAACATTATCCAAATAGGATCATAAATAAGATTTTTTGTAATAACTCAACTACAGCGCCAACTGTCGGATTAAATTGTGAAACTAAACCATCCAGAGACCCACTCAAACACACAAAAAGTTTCGTTAAAATCCGTACAACCATTTAGGAGGATTTCACTCACCAACACACCTACAAAAGAATTAAAAAATACATTCAAAGATAACTAAAGGTAGGTACATTTGTAGGCCTCACACCCCCTTTTCAAATAGCCCAAATTTTCTCCATGAGTATGGGCTTGATTTCAACTACATACATATCTGAATACTTTCAGAGATATGCAGTATAAAAATTCGATTTATTGCGATTGATTTCGTATATCTCCATACCAAGTTCCAGAACTCTACCATGCACACTTTCAGAGATATGTAGCATGAGATATTCGGGTTGTATGGGAAGTGCCACGCCCCCTTTACATATAGATTTTTGTTTAGCCTAAAACCATCCTTGGGGCACGTGCGGCAGGTGGCAGTTTCAAAAAAATCGGTTCAGCCACTCTCGAGCCTTGCGAAAACTAAAAAAACGGTACTTAGGTACCGAATTTTAAGCAAATCGGACCATAAATATGATTTCTTCGAATAGATCGGTCCCTGGTCCACTTCCGGAAAAAATGGATCATATATGCTAAAAAGCTACCTACGTACCGAGTTTTAAGCAAATCGGACCATAATAAGATTGTTTCGAACAGATCGGTCCCTGGTCCACTTCTCGGAAAAAATTGATCATATATGCTAAAAAGCTACCTACGTACCGAATTTTAAGCAAATCGGACCATAAATACAATTTTTTCAAATAGATCGGTCCCTGGTCGACTTCTCGGAAAAAATGGATCATATATGCTAAAAAGCTACCTACGTACCGAATTTTAAGCAAATCGGACCATAATAAGATTGTTTCGAATAGATCGGTCCCTCGGAAAAAATGGATCATTTATGCTAATATATGCTAAAAAGCTACCTATGTACCGAATTTTAAGCAAACCGGACCGTAAATACGAATAGATCGGTCCCTGGTCCACTTCTCGGAAAAAATGGATCATATATGCTAAAAAGCTACCTGCGTACTGAATTTTAAGCAAATCGGACCGTAATAAGATTTTTTCGAATAGAACGGTCCTTGGTCCACCTACACGTGGTGGTTACCGAAAGCTATTTATATAAAAAATTTCATGAAAATCGGACCAGCCGTTCACGAGATTACCTGTTACAAAAAAAAGGGACTTCTCTTTATATAACACTATGCGACAGTCAAAATCGGGATGGGATGAAACCAACGGGAAATGTTATATCGGTCAAAAACACGTCTAGGAATCGAGATATATATATAACTATCATATAGGGGAAATTGTCACCTTTGGTGGTCTTTTTTTGACATAACTCCAGAACCACTAGTCCGATTTTGCTCAAACAAATTTAAAAAAATTAAAAATTACAATTCCTTTAATCTGTTCATATAACGTTTTTCTATATAATCAACAGTTTTGCCGGTAAAAATAAATGTATGAAGAAAAAAAATATTTTTTGCCTAAAATATTAAACTTGTTTTTTTTTTTTGTTAATTTATTTTTTACAAAAATATAGTTATCACAAAACAATTCATAAAAATCCATCAAATATCAAAAATTTCAATTTCAAAAAAGTTTCCAACTTTCAAACAAGTATGTAGCTTATTTAATTTTTGTACGATATTGTTCAAGTTTGAAGCGTGTATAAATTCTCATTAAATTTAGAAAATTTATTTTGCTGACTATACAAAATATGTTCCAAATTTTTTTATGAAAGAAAATGAGCAATACTTTCAGCAAAAAATTCTCAAATATCAATAAGGGTTTTTATGTTTTGCTCAACTAGAATTCATACTCCAATTTTTTTTTTTGGAATCCTGATTAAAAAATTTGAAATTTTAATGACCGATTTTTTGAAATTTGGCGAATTTTTATAAATCTTGTACAAGCTATGCGATTTTGAGTTGAATGGTTTTCGTTGTGGTATAAATTGTCAAAAACTTGTAAAGATGTCCCTATCCCTAATTATGTGACCACCACTGTAAGTCCAAGCTGCACACCTTGTATAAAGATTTAAAAAATGAACAAAGCTCGATCAAAACTTCACCTCTTTTATTCTGATTTAATTAATCCGGCGACACTGAGAGATAAGGAACCAGCAAACATTTTAAAATTACTTATAACTACCCTGCAGGGAAACTGTGCTATGGAGACGTGCTTTTAATAAAAAACTTTTTTTTTTGGTCGACGTGTACTACTACAGCAGGATGTTCGAGTTTAATAGGGACAAGAGCTTACGAGAATTCAAAGTTGTATTACCGTTATAAGACCGGTAAAATTTTGGACATGTAGGTTATAGTGTAGACTATGTGAACAAAAGGTAAGTTCAAAATTAAGGCTAAGTGCAAAGTGGAGTGGCGATTACAAACGTATATGTTTCAAAGCGTACATATACGTTTGGAATCGACGCTTTGCTCGATGCTATGCTCGTCGCTTTACTCGCCGATCCATTATGCGCTTAGCCTAAATGTTTTGGCCGAAATGCGTTTTTTCCGACGATTCCACGATTCGTACTTCGCTCCCTAAGTAATTCGTGAATAAACCTGTTTCCACGACACATTGGTAATCGATTGGCAGCTCTACTTCATGTTCTTGTTATTCGCTATTTATTATTATTTTTGTTTGCTGCAAATTTCGAAGATGGAATAAAAATTTAAGTTATCATCAAACATTTTAATATATATAGAGTAAAAGTTTGTGAAGTAGGCCACCATTCTAGCTTTTTTTGTGCAATTAGCTGTTTATGCTTCACAACGATAAAAGAAAAATACAAGTTACGCAATTTTTCGAAATTCGAATTTTTCGAAGTTGTTTAGATTTTAATTGTTTTCTCGTGATTGGTAATACCGATTCTGCTCATATTTTAAACAGTTGAGAATGATGACGTTTTCTTCCCATTTTAATTTTTTATTTGGCCATAATTTTTTTTTTTATAAAAGTTAGTAACATTTTTTTAAATATCACTGACATCTCAATGGCTTTGAAATCGCGTTTTGGGCTAATATTATTGTACGTTTCTATTAGTAATTATTTGCAAATGCATCGAGACGAAAGTTATTCACGCTTTTCTCTTGACGCGGAATGTATTTTGTATGGAAAGTAACTAATTTTTTTAACGAATTTACCATATTTTTCCAAGGTTCTGGAATTCGTTAACTCGTACTTATGGATTTTCCGGCAGGGTTCTGGAATGCATATATAATACTAGTACGTGTGTAAACACATTGCCTACTAAAAAATGATCAAAAATAAAAAAACTCGGCCACTTACTTTTTAGTAATTAACTGCATCCCGTACGCAATAGAATTGAGTTTGTGTTTTGTGAGAGAACGCTATATTTTTTCAACGAAATTCTAGAAAGTTAACCAACATGAGGCATTCAAGGAATATAACCATTTTTGTGGGTAAATATAAAATTAGTTAAGTGAAAACATTAAGTGTAAGCTTTTAAAATCAGATCCAAAAAGTAATTTTTTTAATATTTCATTCATTTTACCATAGAAGAAGAATATTTTCGCATTGACCGGTGTAGGGAAAGAGGAATGTCCAGTGAAAGTAATAAACATACAAAATAAAAATAATAGATATATGTACACTAGAGTGCTTCACTCTCTATGCAAAACAAAATTAAACTGTTTTTCAACGGAGATATAAAATGTATCATTTTTAAAACCTTTTTGAAACTTCCTCCAAAACTCGAGTATTCTATATATAAAATTATTTTTAAAAATCTACTTTTTTTTAATCACCTCAGGTAGTGGAAGATTTTAAACTTAAATGGTCTGCCTCAAAATTTTGGAAAGCTTCTTCACCGGAATCAAAATAAAAATATATTTGGATTTTTTTTTAAATCGGTCTAGCTCACCTTTTCCCAAAATATTTTGACGGAAGTCGTAAAGTATAATAAATTTTTTAATTCCGGTGGAAAACCTGCAAATTTTTTTTTGGTGATGCACCCTAATGTATGTACATTAAGGCGCGACAATTTTTCTGACTATGCGCGTATAGCATAGGAGGATCCTACGTGTAATTCAAAGCAAATTTTCCGAAGAAAACTTGGTTCTAAAATCAATTTGAAGTTTGGCAAATTCCGTAAATAGGTTTCGAAGAAAACCAAGAAAAAGAAAAGTGCACAGATGGATTCTTATACCAAAAAACTCTTATAGAATGTTTTTATACAAAATTTAAGCACTTCTTTACGACACTACAGCAAAATGGGAAGAAGCCTATTTTCGCAATTCGGAAAGCTCAAAATTGATTTTAGACCCAGGTTTCTTCGGCAATTTTTTTAGAATTACACGTACACATACAAATTTCCCCCCCTTAATGTACAGATTTACATATATGTTCATAGAATCCACTGGATCATTTCGGGATCTAACACATTGCAACAGGGACCGTTTATTAAAAAGAGTCGCCCTTTAACAATCATTTTTTTTACTTATATTTAACTACTTCTCAAATAACCATTTTTCTGACTTTTATTTTATACCTTCAAAATAACAATTATTTTTGATTTTTATCTAAATAATCTGCAAATAACAGTTATTTTTGATTTTTACATTATATGTCTTAGATAACAGTTATCGAAGACTTTTATTTACAAAAGTCATAAATAAAAATCAGTCACTGACCGTTATTTTTTAAATAATACTCATAAAAGTCATATGCATAAGTCGTAGTAAACTTTTCTTTCCCAACATCTTCTTAACTGCAAAAAATGTGAATGACTTTTATACGAATGATTTAAAATTGAAAATCGATGACTGATTTTTATTGAGGACTTTTGTAAATAAAAGTCTTCAATAACTGTTACCTAAGACATATAATATAAAAACCAAAAATATTTGTTATTTTGGATTTATAATATAAAAATCAGAAATAATTGTTATTTTTTTTTAATATTGCATAAAAATTGCAAATAAACATTTATTTTAAAATTTGAGTCCCGGTGAAAAAAGAAATCGATTGGTATGGTATTGGGTATAAGGTGGGTATATATTTTTGTGGGTAAATATAAAATTAGTTAAGTGAAAACATTAAGTGAAAGCTTTTAAAATCAGATCCAAAAAAGTAATTTTTTTATTATTTCATTCATTTTACCATAGAAGAAGAATATTTTCGCATTGACCGGTGTAGGTAAAGAGGAATGTCCAATGAAAACAATAAACATACAAAATCAAAATAATAGATATATGTACACTAAAGTGCTTCACTCTCAGTACAAAAAAAAACGATACTGTTTTTCAACGGAGATATAAAATGTATAATTTTTAGGACTTCCGTGAGCAGAACCTTTTTGAAACTACCTCCAAAACTCGAGTATTCTATAAATAAAATTATTTTCAAAAACATATTTTTTTTAATCACCTCAGATAGTGGAAGAGTTTAAACTTAATTGATCGGCGTCAAAATTTTGGAAAATTTCTTCACCGGAATCAAAATAAAAAAATGTTTTTTTTCTTCTTGAAATCAGTCTAGCTCACGTAAATCTGAACCTTTTTCCAAAATATTTTGACGGAAGTCTTAAACTATAATACATTTTTTAATTCCGGTGGAAAACCTGCACATTTTTTTGGTGATGCACCCTAATGTATGCACATTGAAGGGGATCAATTTTTCTGACTAACCGCGTATAGCATATGAGGCCCCTACGTATAGTTCCAAACAAATCATCCGAAGAAACCATGGGTCTAAAATCAATTTGGAGCTTGCCAAATTGCGTAAATAGGTTTCGAAGAAAATGTGAAAATTTTCACTGTTGCACCCTCTGGTGGAAGTTTTAAGAAAAATAAGAGTGCAGAAATGGATTCTTATACCAAAAAACCCTTATAGCATGTTTTGTACAAAATTTAAGCCCTTCTTTAAGACACTACAGCAAAATGGTATGAAACCTATTTTCGCAATTCGGAAAACTCAAAATTGATTTTAGACCCATGGTTTCTTCGGAAAACTTGCTTGGAATTACGCGTACACATACAAATTAGCCCACCTTAATGTACATATTTACAAATATGTTCATAGAATCCACTTGATCATTTCGGAATCTAACACTTCGCAACAGGGCCCGAACTGTTACAACTTTTATTAAAAAAATCGCTCTCTAACAATTATTTTTTTACCTTTATTTAACTACTTCTCAAATAACCGTTATTTTTTACTTTTATTTTATAAATCCAAAATAATAATTATTTTCGATTTTTATCGTAATAATCTGCAAATAACAGTTATTTTTGATTTTTAAATTATATGTCTTAGATAACAGTTATCGAAGACTTATATTTATAAAATCATAAATATAAATCAGTTACTGACCTCTATTTTTGAAATCATACTTATAAAAGTCATATGTATAAGTCGTAGAAAACTTTTCTTTCCCAACACCTTCTTAATTGCGAAAAATGTTAATGACTTTTATACGAATGATTTAAAAAATGAAAATCGATGACAGATTTATATTGATGACTTTTAAAAGTAAAAGTCACTGACTGATATTAATTGAGGACTTTTGTAAATAAAAGTCTTCAATAACTGTTATCTAAGACATATAATATAAAAACCAAAAATATTTGTTATTTTAGATTTACGATATAAAAATCAAAAGTAATTGTTATTTTATTTAATATCGCATAAAAATTTCAAATAAAAATTTATTTTAAAATTTGAGTCTCGGTGAAAAAAGAAATCGATTAGTTGTAGAACACTTTCTTCATAGTGAGCTTTCCATGACAATTTTCATCAATAACTTTTATGTTCGGTCCCTGCATCGCAAGCATGTTCACAAACTCCGATATCAAGAGTTACAAAAAATTTAACACTTTTCATTTCATCTAGGATTCTTAAGCGCTTGCTTGGTTCAGCAAATAAACAGTTTGCCACAAGCTGGCCGCGGTTGGTCTCCTGCACGTCCAAATGCCACTTCCTACAATAATCGTTGGCAGCAAAAATTTCAGACGACGCGATCACCAACACAAAATCAGCAACCTAATTGGCAATCTAATGGTGGCTGGAGCTGGCTCATAGCAAATAATAGTGCACCGCAAAAACCACAACAACAACAACAACCGCAATGGCAACAAGGTAATGGTACACGCCGATTTGTGGATGGTGCAGCTTATCAATCAGAAGGTGAAAGAGTTTGGTTAAATAATAACCAATCACATCCGTTTATCCAAGTGCCTGGTTTTGGAAATCGTCCAAATTTTGCAATAGCTAAACAACCGAATCGAAACAACTCATTGGCAACAGTTAGTAATAATGGATTCGGTTGGAGAGCGCCACAGCCCAATTACTGGGGACCTGTTGGCACTAACTCGTCAACACAAAATGTTCCAACAACGCGTCAGCCAGCCGGAAACAATGGCTGGCAAAGAAATCCCTCAACAGCCAGTACTTGGAATATTGGGCGTCCCGCCGCCTATAATTCTACAACAGGTGGACAGAATGCTGGCAATTGGTATTCTCCTGCTAACACACCAACGCCACCACGCAATGCGGGTTGGGCTACGCCTATTAAACCGAATATTAATACAAACTGGAACGGTGTTGCTAGCAATGGTACTAGTGGACGCGGTGGTGTCAACTCATATGCCAATTGGAATTCACCTCTCCCGGGTAGTACACTTATAGCTGGGAATAATAATCAAAGCGCTTTTTTTAGCAGTGGACCAACAGCTCCTGCTCGCAACAACTCAGACTCTGGTTACTCAGGCTTTGCACCCGTGGGAAACGGAGGCCAATTACCTCCTGGTAGTTATGGTGCTAGTTCCAGTTACGGTACGCCACTAGCACCACTGGCTGGCGGAAGTTCGTGGAGCTCTAATTCATCACAAGCTGGCTGGAGCTACACAAATGGACAACAGCAACCACAAGCGCGGCCTACTAACAATTCGAATCCTTATGTCAACTTATTTTATTGATTATTTAAAAACGCATAGAATTTATTGGATTTATTTATATTGGCCATTAAAGAATTATTCATCTCATAATTGTTCTAGCATCGATAACGAATATGTGTAAAAGACTTAGGGTCGTTTTCTCAAGTAGTTTTTAAAATTTATCTGCCCTTAAAACACAAATTTTGTTCAGAAAAAAATGTGTTTAAAGTGCAGGTTAATTTTAAAACCTACATGAGAAAACGGTACTTAATTTATACATACATACAGTTACCCACAGAAGTATTAATTTGGTTTTTTGGGACAGTCAAATGTACATACGTATGTACATACTACATATCTAAAGTCCGCACAATTGATTCAAAGTGCCAACAATTTTTGAAAAATGGATTTTGTTTGCTAATAGCACGGTAGTGAAAATCTCAAGTTTTGAAATCACACAAAAAACGCCCAAACAAGTAAACTTAACCCGAATTAGTCCTTAGGGTCAAATTGACCCTTCTTAAATTTTGAATCCGTTTCTCTCACACCGCCTTGGGTCCGAGTAATCCATTTTTTTACTTTATTTTTTTCTGCTAAAAAGCTTATATTTTCTACCGTGGAATTTTACATTGTAATTGAATTTTTTTTTGGCTATTGCTACCAATTGGACCCAAGGATCACACAGGACCCTATCCTCACATAACAGAGAAACTTACAATTTTCATTGTTTAATCCAACAATACTGTATAGATAAGTCTTTTAGTTGTGACTACCTACAGATTACTATAGTACTAATATACTACAATTGTGCTAAGTACTTTAAGTAAATGTATTTACTAATTTTAACAGCATTAAATACTAAGTGCAAAAGTATTTAGTTTTAGTTTCACGTAACCAAACACCGCGAACAAAAGGGATGTGCTTAGAGAATTTGGCTCCACCAACTACCGCGTACAAAAGTACTTAGAGCATTTGTCTTAACTTAATACTGGATACAAAAGTACTTATTTATTACTCAAGACTTGATCAAATACTAAATACTTGCTACTGTTTCGGGTCATTGGGACTACTTCGGAATTTCGGGATTTTCGAGACTACTTCTGAATTTTCGAGACTACTTTGGGATTTTCAGAATATTCGATATGCTCGGGACTATATCGAGATTTTTGGAACCATATCGAGATTTTCGGCACTATTTCGGAAATAAAATTCGCCCAATTGGCATGAGGTGATTTGCGTTAAGTTTATTTGAGTTGATGTGAGGTTAGTTGATGGTGAAGTAGTAAGGTTTGGGTTAATTGCTTTAGGTTTTCCTAAATTATTCAGCTATCTACTTTAGTACATCTATAGTACCTGAATGCTTTAGTAGATAGCAGCTCCTTAATACCTAAGTTTTTTAGCAGTGTTCAATTGCTGTGCAACTTCGTCTCTAGGACCTATCTGTATTGCATGCCGCAGCTATCTGTATTGCATGCCGAAGACGGTTATCTCCTCGATCTTACAATGTAGTACGTTGCAATTAAATTGTAAAACCTTCGTATGCCTAGGGGTGCCGCCCTACGGTGGAAGTGGGCAGCGTCGCAGTGGGGATTAGCGCCCGAGCAGCACAACATGGGCCCACAGGGTCCTCGTTAAAACTCGTATGCATGCCCTTAAGTGACACAAGCCAAAGCAGGTGTTGCACTTGACTAATGTCACGGGTGTGGTTGTGTGTGGTCTATTGTTCCCAGTCGGAAATGGTCATTTACCCAGGAATGTATCGGCCTTAGGCGCCATATATTCCAGGATGCATATTTTTTTCACTTCGAAGTCCTAGGAAAGTCATGCATCCGTTTGTACATGCCAGGGTTATACAAAGAAGAATGTTTAAAGCTTTGGGATGCATGAAAGCATTTGTCCAGGATCTGATACGTTAGAAGCTCAAACTGTCAGTTCACTGTCTTTGGGATAATTGCTAGCATGCTTCCGATATCTTATTAATTCTTCTTCTTCTTCTTCTTAATTGGCGCTGTAACCGCCTAAGCGA